GTCAATATGCAGCAAGCACAGGGCTTTGTCACCTCTATGTGGCCAAGTCAAGGGGGCTGAAGAAGTGCTGCTGCAGAATAACTGCAATGCCACTGAGCACAGACAGTCTGGGACAAAGCAGGAGGGCTGCAGGGGCTGTGCAGCTCAAGGGAAAATTGCTATTATTTACACACTTCTCTGAAAATAACCAGCAAGGCAATTAAACATTAGGAAAGACTGAGCTGGATCTGCAACACAGCACTGCAGAATGAAAATAGTGCTCCAGCTTTAAGTACAAATTCCCAGAAATACCTCACTAGATGTAGAGATACATTTCCCCATGTCTCAGCATTAAGCAATTACATTTTCAGCTGATGCTGGGTATTTGGGCTGAAACTTTTTCACCTGATACATGGGGCTGGGAATTCTTGCTTCAGTCTGTGCAGAGATGACTCCTGTTCCTCTTGTGCTATTAAAAATAGGAGTCAAAAATACTCATAAAAATGTGGCAGAATGAGGGGGGGGTGTCTAAAAAATATTATGCTAATACTGAGTTCCAATAGATTTACATAATCAGCCACAAGACATGAGCAACTGCTCTCTTAGTGATAACACTATTTTAATTACTATTTTTCTCTTCACTGACTTGTGAAAGGAGTGATGCTTTTTTATGCCAGTGGAAACATATACAACATATTGCTGTTTACTTGTTTGTTCAGATGAAAAAATCTTATAAAAATAAAATAAATAAAATGAGGCAGTCAAAATAATCTACCCAGGGAAATTAAACAAAAAGATGGTGCTTTTCAAGCACATGAAAAGGAAATAGCAATCTCTGTCATGGGGAGATGGAAACAATTTTATTGGGGGGAATGTTAAAACAACCATATACAATTTGAACAAATACAACATAACACAGTTTGTTCCCCAGGTTTTCTAATTACAGTATTTACAGGTTTAATAAGGCACTGGTTCTCAAAAAAGAACACAAATTAGTTTCTTAGTCTCTACATTGACAACCTTTTCTTTAATAGAAATAACTTTGTGCTAGAGAAAGGATAGCAGTTGCTAGATGGCATCTTTTCTTTTTCCACTTACATATGCCATCTCACCTATGCCAGTAATAAACTAAGATACACTTCCTTGAATGATTTACATTTGAAAAGTGGATTTCTAGACCCGTGGGCATTGAGGCCAAAATAACCTTTACCAAGCCCTCCTCAATGTGCCCTTTGAAGCTACCAAAATATGGAAGTGACATAAAAGGCCACACCTGGCAAAATAAACAGACTAACCTGCAGTCACTGCAGGTGCTGAAACCTTAATAATGACACGCTGAGTGTTGCAGAGTCACTCATTTGGGCATTCTGACTCCAATGTCACAGTGCTGGAACAAAAGACCTCCACACTTGCCTTAGGCTCTTTTTTGGCCTTAGGAATAGCCCTTCACAATAGATTACAGTGGACAGGAGATATGAGGGCAAAATCTGATCTTGGGAGAAAATAGACAGGCACTAGTTACACAACCACAGACTGTTTGCTTTCTCATTGTGTGTCTCCTCATATATATATATTTATATATTTATCTATTTTCCTATACAGCACCGTTGCAGTGATTTGTCTTTTATGCATTTTCATAAATAAATATTATGTTTTATTTAGTGCTTTTTCATCCATAATAGTTTACTCTTAATCCACATGCTGGAGCTATTCCAGACTTGCAACTGAATATATATATATATATATATATTTATATATATATAAAAACACATAAACTTGAACATTTAACATACACACTTTATGTGATCTATCAACCAGTATCTTAGACCCTTTTCTTCTGGACCAAAAAAAGGTAAGATTTTCTCAGGAAACCAATGACTGGCCCTTTCTCTTGCAACACACCGATGGCAGGTGCCAAGGACATTCATTGCATGCCTCGTGCTCCCAGCTGGCAAAGCACCCTCCAAAACACTCCTGGAGAGAGAGCCCTGCTAATTAAAAAAAAAAAAAAAATCTATTTGAGGAAGGTAGAGGTGAAGCCCACCTAAACAGGCAGGAAAGAAGCATCCTTGCTTTGCAACCTGGGACCTGCAGGTCCCATGCGCTTCTTTGGAACTGAGAAATCTTGGTTACACAGGGCGTGCTGGCTTTTATGGGAAGAAATGAGACTGGAAACCCATGCCTCCATTCACTAAGACAAAAAGTTAAAAAGAGGCTGGGTTGTCCCCAATTTGGCCCACAAATCTCAAGGCCAAGGTGGCCAAGGAGAGGAGCAAACTCAGTTCTCAGCCTCACAAGCATTTTTTAAGGATGGGAAAACCACTGTCACCCCTCTGGGGTCAGGTGTATTATTAACTCTCAGAGATTTTCTTTCTCTATTGCTTGGTAAATTTGGGTAGAGGCAGGGAAACTGCACCACAGAAAATGCACTCTAATGAACACAAACTTCTGATTAAGCTTTTTAACACCTATCATCATGGAGGTCTTGCTGGTTCTCTTGAACCGTGCATTTTTCTCTGTTTGCTTGAAAGTACAAAATGGTAATTTTTCCAGCTAGAAATACCTTCAGGGAGCTGTTAAGCTAAGCGCCAATTATACACCTACCTACCACAAATAAATCAGTTTTGTCCAAAAAAAAAAAAAAACCCAAAACATTACAGAAGTGCTGAGGCTAAATCCTGCATGGCAATTATTTCAGTTCTGAAATAGGCTTAGCATAATCAAAGCAACATTTGTAAGGACTTATTTCAAAATTAAGCTGAACACCATCTAGTAAAACAACATAGGCAGGCAGGAAATTTTTTAAAAACAAATGAAGGGTAAAAAAGGGTAAACCAGTAACTCCCACGCAGCTCAGCTTTGGTAATCTGACAAAGAACAGAACCTTTCTAAAGGAAACACTTCACAGGGTATATTTCACCTCTCAGTTCCCTTTCTGTAGCATTAGCATTGCTACAACTACTGCAGAGCCAGGAAGGAGGAACAGGGTAAGATAGAAAATACATTTCCCACTGCCTTTCTCCCCTGACAGCTCCTCTTGCTGGGAACCACACTGCTCCACAGCCCCAGCCTGGCAGCTGAGCCTGGCACTACTGTGCAGCAGCTGACAGAGGTGTGGAGGCTGCTGGAAGGGCACACAAAATATTAATGCAGATAAAGCCTGAGGCAACTGTTCAGTTTGTGGCATCTCTCACTACAGCAGAAGGGCTGGAGGCAGGTACCCCCTGCTGCCCACAGCTCCCAACTCTCACCACCCACCTAATGTATCTTACATTCCCCCCCTGTCACTCCTACTACAGCCTCAAGGCACCAGGTTTCCTCACACTCAAAAAAAAAAAAAAGATTGCCATCCCAGAAATGGGTGCTTTTGAGATTTTTCACTTGCCCTTAAAAAAGGGAACATAGATATATTTTTTTTCTCAGCTGTGGTTGTAAATAGACACCTCACTTTTACACAAATGAAAAAGCAAGTTAATAATTCCTTCTCACAAGGAATTTCCTCTTAAACAGTGGTTGTTTGTGGGTCCTAGAAGATTCAAATTACCCAGAAAATTCAAGTGTGTACTTAATTTCAACTCGCACACAAAATATTTTATTTTGCAGTGGGAGAAAAGGAAGGGAGGAAAAAAAAGCCAAGAAAAAGGGTACTTGTTTATCATTGTGGTACAATTCCCATCAGGTTTCCAGGAAACATGAAGATCTTCTTTAAACAAGTCACACCAAACCATACTCATACAGCTCCCAAGTACCTTAAAGGAAGCATGACCTTCCCTGGACAGGCCACCCACACCAGCTGGGATGGCAGGGATGCAATTGGGCTCCCTGTGTACTCTGAGAATCACTTGCACATGCAGGGTTTGGAAAGTTACCTCCACAAGTAGGTGGCTTTTAAGGCAGGCTCCTCTGAGCTACACAGATGCACTCACCTTTTTTTTTTTTTTTTAATGCTGGAGTGCAATAATCTTTTTGGAAATGAAAAAGTTAGTTTGTTTTCATTTTCAGCAGTTTCCTCCACTTTTTAAAAATGTAACAATATACATATTTTTTTTACTTCTAACCCAAAAGTTTTATTTTCATAAAATTTAAAGCAGTATCTTTTTAAACAATCAAAATAATAATAATAATAATAAAATAATAAGTGGCTTTCATGGAAAGCAACATGCATAATCATAAACCAGTTACTAAAACTGTATTTCCCCATGTAAACAAGGGCAGACAAGCCTCTTCAATCTTGCATGTCAAAATTCAGGTGATTTTTTACGATGGATAGTCTCCTCAAAAACTCACAGCCGCTCTTAAGCGTGACTCCTCCACTCAAGGTACTTAGCAAAGACTTCTGATACATCTTCAGGACTTCTGCCTGCACAACAAAGTCCATTTCCAGGGGCCTCCAGCAGCACTGCCTCTGGCAGAGTCAGAGTTTAATGTCCTGGGACTCTGACATTTTGGCAAGTGTTTTCTTGACGCGCAGGGCTGTGAGGCGGGAGGCAGGGCTGTGAGCCCAGCACTCCATCATCAGCTTCCCCATCTGCCGTAGGCACTGCGGAGAGAAGTGGGAGAGAAAATCCCACCGGGTTCAATGGAACAGCAATGCTGAAAAACTGAAGGGAAAAGGTCTTTTCTAAGGGCAGTGCAGACCCTGAAAAGCATCACAGATAAACACCAACAGCACTGCCCAGACCAGCCAAATGCGTTTCATGTAAATTAACGCACATTTTTATAAATGCATTTTTGGTAATACACAAGCACTATGTAGTAACAAATTGACTTTTTATTGCTGGAATGCCCAGGGTGGGATTACCAAGGATGCTAACCAATGAATCAAGAGCAGCTGTTGCAATAAACCTCCCCAATCCTTGATATGTGTGGTAGCAGACCAAACACTGAGTGCCACCACACAAAAGCCATTTTGGGAACTAATACTCCTTCCTCCAGTGTTTCCAGCCCCAGTCTGAAGCCTCAGAGGCATTTGGCTAGGGAGAGGATGAGGCAGGTGAGTTTTGGTTAGATCTGCAAACACTGGCTGTTACACAAGACCTCAAGCAGCCCAGGAAGGCTGTTTTTTTCCCCTCACACTCACAAATCTCATGCCACCTAAATCTTTCATCTCCCCACAGACTATTCATCTACATGCTGCTATTCCCAAATGGCAGCACCAGCGGTAAATATCCTCCTCTCTCAAAATGATGCAGAATTGGGTCAATCTCACTCACTAACTCTGATTAAAAGCACAGACTGCATGCTAGGAGGGATGGGAGGTACCTCATCACTGCTCCATCTGTTGGGAAAGGAGGGGCGTAGTCTCTTGATGCACACGATCTCCCGCATGTCCTCGTACGAGGGGTCACTGGGCACAAGGTCATGGTATGGAAGCTGGTATTCCTCAACTATTCCTGAAAGAAGCAATTAGTTGCTTGTCACTTGCAGAAAAATCTTCCACTCTCTTCCTCCCCTCTCATTTTATAACAGATTGGCCATACTGTCTAACAGTTGGGTGTACTGCCCCTAAAAAGACTCAAAGTTTGTTCCACAGTCAAGTTCCAATGTAATTATTGCTGTATAAAGACTGGCCAGGTATCTTAATCCAAAAGCGTGGTAACTTGCCAAGTGAGACAGTTTCTACCACTGCTGTCCAGTCCAGCAATCTCCAGTAAGTTCTCACAGAAAGAGTTATTAGCATAGGGTCTGTATCAGAGTAATCTGAGAGATAATTAACCTTGAGTTAGGTCTCCTCCTTAGCAGTGGATCTGGAAAATACTGAAGGGCATTTCTGTGCCTTTTCAGAACATGGCAAGGTACCATTCTTTGTGCATAGCAACAATGACAAAAATATTACAGATTTCACCTCACAACACTGCAATGCATGTCACCAGCTTTTAAACACAGGGATCCTGCTACTTATTGGCAACATTCAGCTTCTCTAGGATGAACAGTCAGCAAGATACTGCAGGATATGAAGACCCATAAGGTATGCTGAAGGTAGCAGAGACCCAAGAGAGACATGCTTTACTCTTACCACCAAATTGGCACAGAACTGCTACCAAGTCATATCTCTGCATTTAACTTTCTCAGTGGCAATAGAGAGGTAACAATATCCATCACTTCTGCACTACATGAGCTCTACATGCAGAAAGAGGGAAATGAAGCATAACACTAGTATGACAATGATGTAATAAGTGCCACTTCCCTCTACTGTTTTGCTACTTTTCTTCTTAACGGATTATTTATTTCATAGAGTAGAGCATCAGTCCCTGAATTGTTTGTCCTCCTTTCATTTAACTATTAACTAAACTAAGGAATCACTATTTTCTTTCTGCTAAATAAGCTGAACACCCCCAGTCCAGCAGAAACGTGATACCTTTAGGAAAGGTCCCCAGATGAGTTCCACACTTCCTCAGTGCAGGCACCAGCTGCCTTCAAATGAGCCATTAAAATACAGTCTAAATCTCTGCTGTTGAAATAGCACTGACTGATGCTTTAAAATAAGTTTCAACAAGAGGACAGATATTAAGAGAGTTACCTGTATGGTTTACCCACTTTTGTTTATTACTGTAAAAACAATTACCCAGAGAAAAAGGTGTAATGGAAGGCTCTAAGTTTACTGACACAATTAAAAGTGATCTCCCAGCTCTTTACCTCCTGAAACACATCTCCTTGCTATCTCCCACAGGATGAGTCCAAAACTGTACATATCAGCCATGATGTAGGACTGAAAGTGATTTCTATTCAAGCTTTCATCCAGCACCTCAGGAGGCATATAACGTTTTGTTCCTACACGGGTATTTGGAGGGATGTCTACCTCATTTGTATCACTAAAAGAAAAAGAAGGAGAAAAAAAGGACATCAAACATGCAGTAAAGTGGCTTGAAAATAAAGCAATTTGGATGGAAGAAGCAGTAAATCCACACCGCATCCACTCTCAAACAAGGTCAAAAGTAGTGCATAATCTTAGAACAATTCTTACAAGAAAAGCCTCTTAGTGTGAAGGCAACCCTCCTTAAAAGGCTGACCCACCTGAGGCTATGTTAAGCATTCAAATGCAGAACCACAATGGAGATAAGACTCAACAGGGATGCTGTAACATTTGTGAGATTTCATTAGCATTAGCTCTAATGTTAGTGATAACAATCAAATCTTCATTAAACGCTGTTTTCTTAAAATACTCCACCACCTAATGCTTCAGTCTCTGCAATTAATGGGGGATACTAAGTAGCCGAAGCAGTATCTCTTAGCTGTAGCAAATCAGATCTGCAAGACAGATGAATCTAACTATTATGTTTTTGCATGCATTATGTTTGATCCCTTCCAACCTTTACACATCAAGATATGCAGACACAGAGAGATAAATGCATAAAAACATCTAAGCAAATGTATCACACCTCACACATTGACCAGAAGAGACAACATACAGGAAAAAAATTCCCATTAATTATGTGAATGGCTTCTTGTTTTTCTTAATAACTCAGATTCAGCTACATCAATTTCAATATATTTAAAAGTTTAATATATGGTATATATTCTGGTTTGATTAAAAAGGTCTGTTTTCCTTTCTTCACCTTCAAAATTTATGTATTTTACATATGATGGATAAACAGAATCTCACAGAATAATTGTATTTCTGTAGTTTTCTTCATGTACAGCAATTTTTTTTCACCTTCTGATATGAAGAAAAGTTGAGTCTGTGGTACAACCAGTCACCTACACAGTCATTAGATCATACATATGCTAGAGGCACTACTGTACACCTCCAAGAATGTAACATAAATCCAGTGATCTGCACTATCTTACAATATTTCAAATTGAATGGAAACATAAATTATTTTACTAGAATCATTAGCTTCAGCAGAGCATACCCCTCCCAACTATTTTCTTCTGTTGTTGCATGAGAAATGCTGTCTGAGGAAGGATTCAGTATGAAAACAAGCCAAGTGCATAACGTAAATTCCATCTGGAGTGTGAAAAATCTATATTTCACCTTCTTTTGTAACAGCACTTGGTAATTCCTAGCTCTTCTTCATTCACAGCTAAGCAGTGTGCTGCTCGGTATTTGCCAGGCAAAGTACACCTGCAAAGGCTGAATTTCTTCCCCAAAACTTTTTAATAGTGTTATTTTCAAGTACTTGTTTTCTAGGCCTCTGCTCCTCAAAGTAAAAATATTCCTTTCTTGTCTCCTGAAGAAAGGTCAGGCTCATAAAGGAAATGCCTCACCAAGGAACCTGGTAGGTAAGTGAACAGTAAGAAGAGAACATTAAACCTGCCTTTCTTTTCACTCTGAATAATTTCAGTCGAATGTTTGTACAGAATTCCTGATTTATTTCTTTTTAATACTCCAGGGAGTCTATTGTTTCAAAGCTGACCTGCAAAATGGAAACCTTCATTCTATGTATGCTGGACAGATTTCTGTGTACAGAAAAGTCAGAAACTTCAGAGTAAGCACCTCCACCACCAGGACCACCACTGAGAGCTCAATCTCCTTTCGAACAGAGCTGTCAGAGAACAGTCTCCTTATGACTCCCAGGAGTGAATAAGTTCTACTTGTTTGCTCTTTCTAGGTTGCTTAAACACACAACCATTTTTTAAAATCAAATTTAAAAGCCATTTCAAAAATCAAATCTGTACTTCGGCAATTTGATTTGTAGGAAATGAAACAAAAGGCAGCCCAAATGGGGTCCTTTTCCATAAATCCTAGTTAGTAACTTGTACAAATTATTAGTATTTTTCTCTCTAAGTTGAGAGTAAATTTTCATGGGATCAGACAAGCTGAATGCTTCACTTACAAACTCAGTGATGTGACTTCAACCTGTCAGTGCTACATCCTTTCATTGTGTGCCACCAATACTGGGGTAGCTATGGAGGATGGAATGATGAAAACTGAACCTCTATACAAACACAGTTAATGTGCTCAAATCATCAAAAAGCGACTATTTATACACCTGCTTGAGGTGCTGACATGACATTCTCCCCCACACAGGTAACCTCACACACAGATGAGCAGAGCCCAGGTGTGCACACACACTGCAGGTGCTTGTTCACACGTGCACACTCAGTCAACAAGTCAGGAAACTTTTGCACCTGATTTATTAACTTCTCCTCGGCCCCCTCACTTTCACTCACCTGATAAATTTAACAGCCAAGCCCAAATCTGCTATACAGCAGGTGCCATTCTTTTTCACCAGGATATTCTTACTCTTTAGGTCACGGTGGGCAATAGCAGGTTTGCCCTGAGTACTGAAGATCTCAGTGTGCAGGTGGCACAGGCCACTGACAGAGGAGTAAGCCAGTTTCAGCATGGCTTTTGTGTCCAAGGTAGTAGATTTTAGATAATCATAAAGTGAGCCATTCTCATGGTAGTCAGTGATAAGATACAGCTGGGTCCAAGATCCTGTACCTTTAATATCTGCAGCAATGAATCCTTCAAAAAGAAAAAGAAAAGTATATTTTCAAATTAATTCTTTTTCTTCTTTGGTTTTTTGGGGGGTTTTTTGGGGGGTTTTTTTTGTTTGTTTTTTGACTGCTCAGAACTCTGGACTGTCATCCATTTCAGTAGTTTTGTTTTACTAACATATTTAATTCCTTTCATCCTACTTCCATACAACTGTGCCTCACCTCTAGCCTTTAATAAACTTTCAGAAGCCCAGATATGGATATACCAGTGGCTGCAATAGACATGTTGTGTTTGGAATAACAACCCCCCAAATCCCATTATTTTTTAACTTTTATTTATGTTTCAGTAATCCTTTAAACAACTTTCATTTGAAAAGCACAGGGTGGCTAATTGCAGAGCACAGAGGGAAACAAAGCACATCGTAAAGGACATCAGATAAAAGCAAATACAAAATTGCTAATCTTAAAAACCTGTTCATGATCAAATAATTCTTTCACTTCACTCACCAAGAATATTTTCATGCCTCATCAGGACAGTCTGGTAGATTTCTGTTTCTCTGAACCAGCTGGCCTCCTCTGTAGTAAAAAACACTTTCACTGCTACCTTTTCGCCACGCCACTTTCCCATCCAGACTTCTCCATAGCGACCTTTTCCAATCTGCTTCACCATTTGAATCTGTTTTGCAATGGTCCTTTGAACCTGTGAAATGCCAAGGCAGATCTTACACCTTTCTCAGGGGAATCTCTGCATTCATTCCCTCCTCCTGTGTCTGCTTCCCACACAGCCAGCCCAGAAGAGAGTGGAATATGCAACCATTGTGACATGGATTTCAGCAACCTTCCACAATTGCAGATGCTCCCATTTTCTCCAGGATACATTGCTGCTGAAGACATTCCCACCACTAAAAAGAAGCCTTTCCATGCATACTCAAGATATACTGTGGTCTCTCAAGAAACTACATCAGTCAGTGTAAAGGTGTTTTTTTTTTTTGGGTGGGGGGAGGAAGTTTTGACAGAAAACACTCCTGGTCACCTCAATGCAGTACAACTTCCAAAGGGGTAGGTAACACATTTTCATTAATATAGGGATGTTTTTTACACGGTCAACACTGCTGAGACTCAAGACTTAGGCTCAAAAGAGTCAAAAGCCTATTAGAGCTCCAAAATTAGTAGAATTAAGAATTACCTTTTATTTTTTTTTAAGGATGCTACTTCCTATCACCTTCCTTGAAATTGCCATGCCTAATTATTTCAAAATATACATTTGGTGTTAGGAACCTCAATCACTACTTACAGAGTTAAAACACACATGCCTACATTGATTTAAATAATCATAACTACATATTAATAAAAAGCAATTTACCCCCCAAAATATTTGAAGGAACAGCTTTCCAGTGTCTGTGCCAGCTTTGCCAGTAGCTGTACTGTGAGCTAAAGCTAAAATCATGGGTATTGCAAGATCAATGTCCACAGCAGCATTGCAGAGATACTCTTCACAAGAATAACAGACTGCCTCTACATATAACAAGCTTTTACAGCCACAAAAAATCTTGCACAAATGGAGACTTATAATCTCATCAGATTCGAGCATCTCTGCAGATCATGTCTTTCTAAAAGTTCACAAATAAAAATGCGAGTGAATGCTGCAACACAATTCATATGGCTGACTCTGCCTCAGCTTAAAATAACAGGAGATTTAAAATGTCACCCTCTTGTGCTACAGCATTGCCTGTTCAATCCACAGCTAATGAATTTTTGTCTGGTAGGATTTGGTAAGATTCTGGAAGACTATTGTCACCAATATGATGAGATTTTCATCTGGCCCAAGCAATCGGCAAAATCTGGACAAGTTCAAATTTGTAGCTTCTTGCTCTGTTTTGCCACCATCCAAATACAAACCTCCAGTAGTTTATTGCAGCAAGTGAATCTAACTGCTCTGAATTCCTATGAAGTCATGTTCATTTCATGAAATCAAAAACATTTTTTCAATCTTGGCTGACAGAAGTGAGCGAAACTTGAATTTTTTAAATCATTTGCTTCCTTTGTTCTGCTTGGGAGGTCCAGTGGAAACCACTAGTTTGGGAAAGCCAGGCAGGACTGCTATGAATGTGCCATTCATGTGCCTCCAAAGACAAACTCAAAACCTATTAGGTCAGGTCTATCATAATTTATTTTTTAAGTGAACCATTGGTTTTCATATTGAACAATTTTAAGAAGCAAAACATACAGTGGTATTTATGCAAAGCTATTTCAAATATCCCACTTTTCTTCTTCTGTCATTTAAACAGAATTCCATTTATCCAACTCTGCACTGTACCATTAGATGTTCAGGATGGTAGCTTCAGTGCCATTATTTTTGATTAACATCAATGAAAGTCAACAATAGAGATTAGCCTTAATTTTTAAAATTGATTTATCTTTTATACTCTCATATAGTGATTGAACAATAGTTATATTACATTGGAATTTTGCTGTAACATTTTGTAATGTCATTTTAGCATTGTTGCTTTCTATTTTGCCCATTTTAAAAATGCATCCTGAACAATAATGTAGTTACATCAAATAACTTAATTTGTGCAAATATATGTAATGGCATCATAAAGTACATGCAATTACAATACTTAATGATGAAAAGTTCCTTATTAAATTACATTAAGAAAATGAAAAACACATTTTTGTGATGGGTTTTCAGGCGGCAGAATACTATGTGAAAGCCCTTAGCCTGGTTTTGTCTGGCTAGAACTAGTCAAATGATTTCCTAGGAGCAATTTATTTTATTTTAAGGAATTCAGCTCCTTGAATCATAAACCAATTATGATTTCTAAAACAAATAGGTTCATCAAAATTGTTGGCTGAACTGATTTCATAAGCATGCTGAATGATGTGCTTGTGTGAGTTATTTACACTGAGTGGGGCTGGGGGTTTCTTATTTCTTTTATATCTGTGTATTTTGGTGTTTGAGCTCTGTAAGCAGTCAGGTAAGGTTACATGACCTTTTCTTTCATCTCCCTGAGTGGAAACAATCCAATTACCAACTATTTCTACCTTCCTGGCATTCAGCTAAACGTGTTCAGCTACTGCAGATGAAAATTTAGACAGACCAACCTTTTGTAAATTTAATATTTTGAACAGAAAATTCATACCTATGGCTTGGATGCAGTCCCTTGAAAAGCAAAGTTTATTGGAAGGGAAATTATGAAAAAAACCGTGAGAAGGTAGAGACCAAATTATAGTTGAGCAATCTCTTCAGACAGCATTTGACCTGTAGTAAACTCTTCTGTCAGAGGTACAGACAAGTCAGGAGAAAGAACACTTGCTGAATGTCATAGTATCAAATTCTTGGCTAATACTTGTTTTGGGTATAATATTTGTTTCCATTAGAATAAATGTTCTACACAGAAGAAAAACATTACTGGTTAGCATAAGGTGACATTTTGCATTAAATTTGCATGTTACTTTCCTGAAATTATAACCCTGGATGTTTCAGTCTTTGCATAAGAAACAAAGTCAAAAATAAGCTCTTGCACAAGAAAGACCAGAGTATTACTGCCAGGCACCTTCCATACACTTGTTTCAAGCATGGGCCCAGAGGTATCACTCTGTGCATCTCTGGTGAGCTCAGTGGTTCCAGCTGTCTGGGAAATGCAGCAAACATCCATTGCCAAGTGCAAGATCCATTTTATTCTCTTCCACCAAAAATCACTACTTATAAAAACAATTGTACATGTCTTTTTTAAGCAAGGGGGAGATGGGGGGAAGAGTTCCTGGAGGAAAAACACTTGGTCCAGTGGCTGCAAAGTCTCCAAGCTTGAGAGAAGTGAACTGACAAAAGACTGGATGGTTTCTGCCTCATGGAGCAGTGGCACAGCTGGGATGTCACCTTGGCCATTACAGCAGCTAAGCAGCAGGAGTTGGTTTTCCCACCCACTACAGGAGCAGACCTGGGGACAGCACTGAGAACACAGATCCCTCCTTCAAACTGCTCACTGGGAAAGAGGAAGGCATAAAGAGCAAGCAGTCATAACCAGCATTGCTCCAGCTTTTTTTAGGATCCTGGGATGAAGGACTGAGCCATGCACTGCTGTGAGGTGCCCCAGGGCACCTGCTACCCACATGGGGAAACACATAGTCTCAGAGAAGTACAACCAAGTTCCCTGTATTTGTTCTAAATTATTACATTTTTAATGTCATTGGAACAAGTGAAGGTGAAGACATTGATAAGGCAGGTGTTAAAAAAAAAAAAAAAAAAAAAAAACCAAAAAAACAAAACAACCAAACCCCAAAGCAAAAAAAGGAAGAATTCCTCACAATTAAATCAACTGGAAACCCATTGTGAATGGTCCTAAATGCACACAAGATCTCTCCCTTTCCATTGGCCAAAAAATCTCAAACCAAAACCACTACAGGGTGCTAGAAGGATATTGGCATGGTATAGGACAGAGCCTGTTGTTTCATTTTTAAGGAAATATAAAACTTCCCATTTAATGTCTTCTTCAGGGTGCTTAAAAAATATGTGTGGGCAAAAACCAGAGACACAATACATGGTACTTGGAAGCTGGACAACACCTGCAGTAGTAGCATCAATACAAACTAATGGGTTTGGAAGACAGGAGGGACGCATCCACTCTGAGAAAGGAAAATTAAATCTTCCAATTTCTCAGAGGCACTTATTTTAAATATGTAACCTAGCTTTTTTACCAATTCTTTTTTACCATTGATGATCCCCAGAAAAAAAATCCCCTGGTGAACAGCACTATATTGCCACAGAACATTCTGCCTTTTCAGCAGGCTTAGTAATCCTGGAGTCTGTTCAGAAATAATCATAAACTCCATCCCTGTGCCTTTAATCTTTGAGATTGCCATACCACAAGGAAAAAAAATCCCCCTTGACTTCCTAATTCAAAGTGAAGCCTACAAATAAAAAGGTTCCAAGTTTGACAAGTTACAGTTCCCCTTAGAAAAAGGCAATGTGTCAGTGTTTGAAATCCTATTGTGAATTGCACATACAAAGGAAGAAAACAAGATCAGTGGGCCAGGTGCTGTCCTATACATTGGAGTAAATCCTCATCTACTTCCATGAGCTCTCTTAGCCTGTACTTACTCTGTGTATCTAAAATAAGAAATGAACTGGGGTAGAAAAATAATCCTAACCTTTTTTGGCTTAGTTCACATGAAAAAAGT